CTGCTAATATGTGTACCATATATGGCATATTTCTAATTAGAATATTGTATTTTGTTAAGTTTATGTCGGTAAGAGGGTTGACAAGATTATGTGATATACATCACGGGGTAAATTCTAAGTTTCACTGAGAAATTTAGACATCTGTGTATTTTGTAATAATCTGTTTATTCTGTCAGTGCATAATACTTTAAACCATCAAAAATTGAGACATAGATGTTGATTTTTACTCCCCTCTACATAAAGTCCTGATTGTCTTGCCTCTCTACTTGCATTTTTAACTTCTATCATGTCACGCTGTGTCACATGGGATTAAAGCAATAGCTGTTGATATGGTTAAATTGCAATCCAAATGTTGATGGATTCAGAAATTTGTTAGCTCGAAGACATGCACATCAATTGTGTTTATCTGTCTACCTTCAGAGCAATTAGAATGTAAGTTTGAGATTCCTACTTGACAGACTTATAGCAAAATTTAAATGTAAACAGTCTTCAATGATAGGGGAGCAAGCAAAAAGAGAGGGTACATTATGATGAAATGAGTACCTTTTGTGGTTGGTGCTGTAGCTGCAGCAGGTGTTGTTTTTGTTGTTGTGGAGGCAGGTGTTGTTGTTGTTGTGGCAGGTGTTGTTGTTGTTGTGGCAGGTGTTGTTGTAGTTGTTGTGGCAGGTGTTGTTGTAGTTGTTGTTGTGGCAGGTGTTGTTGTAGTTGTTGTTGTGGCAGGTGTTGTTGTAGTTGTTGTTGTTGTGGCAGGTGTTGTTGTTGTTGTTGTGGCAGGTGTTGTTGTAGTTGTTGTGGCAGGTGTTGTAGTTGTTGTTGTTGTGGCAGGTGTTGTTGTAGTTGTTGTTGTGGCAGGTGTTGTTGTAGTTGTTGTTGTGGCAGGTGTTGTTGTAGTTGTTGTTGTGATAGGTGTTGTTGTACTTGTTGTTGTGGAGGGTGTTGTTGTTGTGGCAGGTGTTGTTGTAGTTGTTGTTGTGGCAGGTGTTGTTGTAGTTGTTGTGGCAGGTGTTGTTGTGGCAGGTGTTGTTGTAGTTGTTGTTGTTGTGGCAGGTGTTGTTGTAGTTGTTGTGGCAGGTGTTGTTGTTGTTGTGGCAGGTGTTGTTGTTGTGGCAGGTGTTGTTGTTGTTGTTGTTTGTGGCAGGTGTTGTAGTTGTTGTTGTTGTGGCAGGTGTTGTTGTACTTGTTGTTGTGGAGGGTGTTGTTGTTGTGGCAGGTGTAGTTGTAGTTGTTGTTGTTGTGGCAGGTGTTGTTGTAGTTGTTGTTGTTGTTGTGGCAGGTGTTGATGTAGTTGTTGTTGTGGCAGGTGTTGTTGTACTTGTTGTGGAGGGTGTTGTTGTTGTGGCAGGTGTTGTTGTAGTTGTTGTTGTGGCAGGTGTTGTTGTTGTTGTTGTGGCAAATGGTGTTGTTGTGGTGGCAGGTTTTGTTGTTGTTGTCTTGGCAGGTGTTGTTGTTGTGGAAGGTGTTGTTGTGGCAGGTGTTGTAGTTGTTGTTGGGGAAGGTGTTGTTGTAGTTGTTGTTGTGGCAGGTGTTGTTGTTGTTGTTGTTGTTGTGGCAGGTGTTGTAGTTGTTGTTGGGGCAGGTGTTGATGTAGTTGTTGTTGTTGTGGCAGGTGTTGTTGTAGTTGTTGTTGGGGCAGGTGTTGTTGTGGTTGTTGTGGCAGGTGTTGTTGTACTTGTTGTGGAGGGTGTTGTTGTTGTGGCAGGTGTTGTTGTTGGGGCAGGTGTTGTTGTCGTTGTTGTTGTGGCAGGTGTTGTTGTGGCAGGTGTTGTTGTTGTTGTTGTGGCAAATGGTGTTGTTGTGGTGGCAGGTTTTGTTGTTGTTGTCTTGGCAGGTGTTGTTGTTGTGGAAGGTGTTGTTGTGGCAGGTGTTGTAGTTGTTGTTGGGGAAGGTGTTGTTGTAGTTGTTGTTGTGGCAGGTGTTGTTGTAGTTGTTGTTGTTGTGGCAGGTGTTGTAGTTGTTGTTGGGGCAGGTGTTGATGTAGTTGTTGTTGTTGTGGCAGGTGTTGTTGTAGTTGTTGTTGGGGCAGGTGTTGTTGTGGTTGTTGTGGCAGGTGTTGTTGTACTTGTTGTGGAGGGTGTTGTTGTTGTGGCAGGTGTTGTTGTTGGGGCAGGTGTTGTTGTCGTTGTTGTTGTGGCAGGTGTTGTTGTGGCAGGTGTTGTAGTTGTTGTTGTGGCAGGTGTTGTTGTAGTTTTTGTTGTTGTGGCAGGTGTTGTTGTGGTTGTTGTGGCAGGTGTTGTTGTACTTGTTGTTGTGGAGGGTGTTGTAGTTGTGGCAGGTGTTGTTGTTGGGGCAGGTGTTGTTGTCGTTGTTGTTGTGGCAGGTGTTGTTGTAGTTGTTGTGGCAGGTGTTGTAGTTGTTGTTGTGGCAGGTGTTGTTGTAGTTGTTGTTGTTGTGGCAGGTGTTGTTGTGGTTGTTGTGGCAGGTGTTGTTGTACTTGTTGTAGTGGAGGGTGTTGTTGTTGTGGCCGGTGTTGTTGTTGGGGCAGGTGTTGTTGTCGTTGTTGTTGTGGCAGGTGTTGTTGTAGTTGTTGTGGCAGGTGTTGTTGTAGTTGTTCTTGTGGCAGGTGTTGTTGTAGTTGTTGTGGCAGGTGTTGTTGTACTTGTTGTAGTGGAGGGTGTTGCTGTTGTGGCAGGTGTTGTTGTAGTTGTTGTGGCAGGTGTTGAAGTTGTTGTTGTTCTTGTTGCAGGTGTTGTTGTGGCAGGTGTTGTGGCAGGTGTTGTAGTTGTTGTTGTGGCAGGTGTTGTTGTAGTTGTTGTTGTTGTGGCAGGTGTTGTTGTGGTTGTTGTGGCAGGTGTTGTTGTGGTTGTTGTGGCAGGTGTTGTTGTAGTTGTTGTGGCAGGTGTTGTTGTAGTTGTTGTTGTTGTGGCAGGTGTTGTTGTACTTGTTGCGGAGGGTGTTGTTGTTGTGGCAGGTGTTGTTGTACTTGTTGTTATGGAGGGTGTTGTTGTTGTTGTTGTGGCAGGTGTTGTTGTAGTTGTTGTGGCAGGTGTTGTAGTTGTTCCTGTTGTTCTTGTGGCAGGTGTTGTTGTACTTGTTGTTGTGGAGGGTGTTGTTGTTGTGGCAGGTGTTGTTGTAGTTGTTGTGGCAGGTGTTGTAGTTGTTGTTGTGGCAGGTGTTGTTGTAGTTGTTGTTGTGGCAGGTGTTGTTGTGGTTGTCGTGGCAGGTGTTGTTGTACTTGTTGTGGAGGGTGTTGTTGTGGCAGGTGTTGTTGTTGGGGCAGGTGTTTTTGTCGTTGTTGTTGTGGCAGGTGTTGTTGTGGCAGGTGTTGTAGTTGTTGTTGTGGCAGGTGTTGTTGTAGTTGTTGTTGTTGTGGCAGGTGTTGTTGTGGTTGTTGTGGCAGGTGTTGTTGTACTTGTTGTGGAGGGTGTTGTTGTTGGGGCAGGTGTTGTAGTTGTTGTGGCAGGTGTTGTTGTAGTTGTTGTTGTTGTTCTTGTGGCAGGTGTTGTTGTCGTTGTTGTTGTTGTTGTGGCAGGTGTTGTTGTACTTGTTGTTGTTGTGGCAGGTGTTGTTGTGGTTGTTGTGGCAGGTGTTGTTGTACTTGTTGTTGTTGTGGCAGGTGCTGTTGTGGTTGTTGTGGCAGGTGTTGTTGTACTTGTTGTTGTGGAGGAGGGTGTTGTTGTTGTGGCAGGTGTTGTTGTTGTGGCAGGTGTTGTTGTAGTTGTTGTTGTGGCAGGTGTTGTGGCAGGTGTTCTTGTACTTGTTGTTGTGGAGGGTGTTGTTGTTGTGGCAGGTGTTGTTGTAGTTGTTGTGGCAGGTGTTGTAGTTGTTGTTGTGGCAGGTGTTGTTGTAGTTGTTGTTGTTGTGGCAGGTGTTGTTGTGGTTGTTGTGGCAGGTGTTGTTGTGGTTGTTGTGGCAGGTGTTGTTGTAGTTGTTGTGGCAGGTGTTGTTGTAGTTGTTGTTGTTGTGGCAGGTGTTGTTGTAGTTGTTGTGGCAGGTGTTGTAGTTGTTCCTGTTGTTCTTGTGGCAGGTGTTGTTGTAGTTGTTGTTGTGGCAGGTTTTGTTGTACTTGTTGTTGTGGAGGGTGTTGTTGTTGTGGCAGGTGTTGTTGTAGTTGTTGTGGCAGGTGTTGTAGTTGTTGTTGTGGCAGGTGTTGTTGTAGTTGTTGTTGTTGTGGCAGGTGTTGTTGTCGTTGTTGTTGTTGTTGTGGCAGGTGTTGTTGTACTTGTTGTTGTTGTGGCAGGTGTTGTTGTGGTTGTTGTGGCAGGTGTTGTTGTACTTGTTGTTGTTGTGGCAGGTGTTGTTGTGGTTGTTGTGGCAGGTGTTGTTGTACTTGTTGTTGTGGAGGAGGGTGTTGTTGTTGTGGCAGGTGTTGTTGTTGGGGCAGGTGTTGTTGTAGTTGTTGTTGTGGCAGGTGTTGTGGCAGGTGTTCTTGTACTTGTTGTTGTGGAGGGTGTTGTTGTTGTGGCAGGTGTTGTTGTAGTTGTTGTGGCAGGTGTTGTAGTTGTTGTTGTGGCAGGTGTTGTTGTAGTTGTTGTTGTTGTGGCAGGTGTTGTTGTGGTTGTTGTGGCAGGTGTTGTTGTGGTTGTTGTGGCAGGTGTTGTTGTAGTTGTTGTGGCAGGTGTTGTTGTAGTTGTTGTTGTTGTGGCAGGTGTTGTTGTAGTTGTTGTGGAGGGTGTTGTTGTTGTGGCAGGTGTTGTTGTTGGGGCAGGTGTTGTTGTAGTTGTTGTTGTGGCAGGTTTTGTTGTACTTGTTGTTGTGGAGGGTGTTGTTGTTGTGGCAGGTGTTGTTGTAGTTGTTGTGGCAGGTGTTGTAGTTGTTGTTGTGGCAGGTGTTGTTGTAGTTGTTGTTGTTGTGGCAGGTGTTGTTGTGGTTGTCGTGGCAGGTGTTGTTGTACTTGTTGTTGTGGAGGGTGTTGTTGTGGCAGGTGTTGTTGTTGTTGTTGTTGGGGCAGGTGTTGTTGTCGTTAATATTGAGGCAGGTGTTGTTGAAGTTGTTGTTGGGTCAGGTGTTGATGTAGTTGTTGTTGTGGCAGGTGTTTTTGTTGTGGCAGTTGTTGTTGTTGAGGCAGGTGTTTTTGTTGTTGCAGTTGTTGTTGTCGTTGTTGTTGTTGTTGTGGCAGGTGTTGTTGTTGTTGGGGCAGGTCTTCTTGTGGCAGTTGTTGTTGTAGTTGTTGTGGCAGGTGTTGTAGTTGTTCCTGTTGTTCTTGTGGCAGGTGTTGTTGTAGTTGTTGTTGTGGCAGGTGTTGTTGTACTTGTTGTTGTGGAGGGTGTTGTTGTTGTGGCAGGTGTTGTTGTAGTTGTTGTGGCAGGTGTTGTAGTTGTTGTTGTGGCAGGTGTTGTTGTAGTTGTTGTTGTTGTGGCAGGTGTTGTTGTGGTTGTCGTGGCAGGTGTTGTTGTACTTGTTGTTGTGGAGGGTGTTGTTGTGGCAGGTGTTGTTGTTGGGTCAGGTGTTTTTGTCGTTGTTGTGGCAGGTGTTGTAGTTGTTGTTGTGGCAGGTGTTGTTGTAGTTGTTGTTGTGGCAGGTGTTGTTGTGGTTGTTGTGGCAGGTGTTGTTGTACTTGTTGTTGTGGAGGGTGTTGTTGTTGTGGCAGGTGTTGTTGTAGTTGTTGTGGCAGGTGTTGTTGTAGTTGTTGTTGTTGTTCTTGTGGCAGGTGTTGTTGTCGTTGTTGTTGTTGTGGCAGGTGTTGTTGTAGTTGTTGTTGTTGTGGCAGGTGTTGTTGTGGTTGTTGTGGCAGGTGTTGTTGTACTTGTTGTTGTTGTGGCAGGTGTTGTTGTGGTTGTTGTGGCAGGTGTTGTTGTACTTGTTGTTGTGGAGGGTGTTGTTGTTGTGGCAGGTGTTGTTGTTGGGGCAGGTGTTGTTGTAGTTGTTGTTGTGGCAGGTGTTGTGGCAGGTGTTCTTGTACTTGTTGTTGTGGAGGGTGTTGTTGTTGTGGCAGGTGTTGTTGTAGTTGTTGTGGCAGGTGTTGTAGTTGTTGTTGTTGTTCTTGTGGCAGGTGTTGTTGTAGTTGTTGTTTTGGCAGGTGTTGTACTTGTTGTGGAGGGTGTTGTTGTTGTGGCAGGTGTTGTTGTAGTTGTTGTGGCAGGTGTTGTAGTTGTTGTTGTGGCAGGTGTTGTTGTTGTTGTTGTTGTTGTTGTGGCAGGTGTTGTTGTGGTTGTTGTGGCAGGTGTTATTGTACTTGTTGTTGTGGACGGTGTTGTTGTGGCAGGTGTTGTTGTTGGGGCAGGTGTTGTTGTCGTTGTTGTGGCAGGTGTTGTTGTGGCAGGTGTTGTAGTTGTTGTTGTGGCAGGTGTTGTTGTAGTTGTTGTTGTTGTGGCAGGTGTTGTTGTGGTTGTTGTGGCAGGTGTTGTTGTACTTGTTGTTTTGGAGGGTGTTGTTGTTGTGGCAGGTGTTGTTGTAGTTGTTGTGGCAGGAGTTGTTGTAGTTGTAGTTGTTGTTGTGGCAGGTGTTGTTGTAGTTGTTGTGGCAGGAGTTGTTGTAGTTGTAGTTGTTGTTGTGGCAGGTGTTGTTGTACTTGTTGTTGTGGAGGGTGTTGTTGTTGTGGCAGGTGTTGTTGTTGGGGCAGGTGTTGTTGTCGTTGTTGTCGTTGTTGTGGCAGTTGTTGTTGTAGTTGTGGCAGGTGTTGTAGTTGTTGTGGCAGGTGTTGTTGTAGTTGTTGTTGTTGTGGCAGGTGTTGTTGTAGTTGTTGTGGCAGGTGTTTTTGTAGTTGTTCTTGTGGCAGGTGTTGTTGTAGTTGTTGTGGCAGGTGTTGTTGTACTTGTTGTAGTGGAGGGTGTTGCTGTTGTGGCAGGTGTTGTTGTAGTTGTTGTGGCAGGTGTTGAAGTTGTTGTTGTTGTTGTTCTTGTGGCAGGTGTTGTTGTGGCAGGTGTTGTGGCAGGTGTTGTAGTTGTTGTTGTGGCAGGTGTTGTTGTAGTTGTTGTTGTTGTGGCAGGTGTTGTTGTGGTTGTTGTGGCAGGTGTTGTTGTGGTTGTTGTGGCAGGTGTTGTTGTAGTTGTTGTGGCAGGTGTTGTTGTAGTTGTTGTTGTTGTTGTGGCAGGTGTTGTTGTACTTGTTGCGGAGGGTGTTGTTGTTGTGGCAGGTGTTGTTGTACTTGTTGTTATGGAGGGTGTTGTTGTTGTTGTTGTGGCAGGTGTTGTTGTAGTTGTTGTGGCAGGTGTTGTAGTTGTTCCTGTTGTTCTTGTGGCAGGTGTTGTTGTACTTGTTGTTGTGGAGGGTGTTGTTGTTGTGGCAGGTGTTGTTGTAGTTGTTGTGGCAGGTGTTGTAGTTGTTGTTGTGGCAGGTGTTGTTGTAGTTGTTGTTGTTGTGGCAGGTGTTGTTGTGGTTGTCGTGGCAGGTGTTGTTGTACTTGTTGTGGAGGGTGTTGTTGTGGCAGGTGTTGTTGTTGGGGCAGGTGTTTTTGTCGTTGTTGTTGTGGCAGGTGTTGTTGTGGCAGGTGTTGTAGTTGTTGTTGTGGCAGGTGTTGTTGTAGTTGTTGTTGTTGTGGCAGGTGTTGTTGTTGTTGTTGTGGCAGGTGTTGTTGTACTTGTTGTGGAGGGTGTTGTTGTTGTGGCAGGTGTTGTAGTTGTTGTGGCAGGTGTTGTTGTAGTTGTTGTTGTTGTTCTTGTGGCAGGTGTTGTTGTCGTTGTTGTTGTTGTTGTGGCAGGTGTTGTTGTACTTGTTGTTGTGGCAGGTGTTGTTGTGGTTTTTGTGGCAGGTGTTGTTGTACTTGTTGTTGTTGTGGCAGGTGTTGTTGTGGTTGTTGTGGCAGGTGTTGTTGTACTTGTTGTTGTGGAGGAGGGTGTTGTTGTTGTGGCAGGTGTTGTTGTTGGGGCAGGTGTTGTTGTAGTTGTTGTTGTGGCAGGTGTTGTGGCAGGTGTTCTTGTACTTGTTGTTGTGGAGGGTGTTGTTGTTGTGGCAGGTGTTGTTGTAGTTGTTGTGGCAGGTGTTGTAGTTGTTGTTGTGGCAGGTGTTGTTGTAGTTGTTGTTGTTGTGGCAGGTGTTGTTGTGGTTGTTGTGGCAGGTGTTGTTGTGGTTGTTGTGGCAGGTGTTGTTGTAGTTGTTGTGGCAGGTGTTGTTGTAGTTGTTGTTGTTGTGGCAGGTGTTGTTGTAGTTGTTGTGGCAGGTGTTGTAGTTGTTCCTGTTGTTCTTGTGGCAGGTGTTGTTGTAGTTGTTGTTGTGGCAGGTTTTGTTGTACTTGTTGTTGTGGAGGGTGTTGTTGTTGTGGCAGGTGTTGTTGTAGTTGTTGTGGCAGGTGTTGTAGTTGTTGTTGTGGCAGGTGTTGTTGTAGTTGTTGTTGTTGTGGCAGGTGTTGTTGTGGTTGTCGTGGCAGGTGTTGTTGTACTTGTTGTTGTGGAGGGTGTTGTTGTGGCAGGTGTTGTTGTTGTTGTTGTTGGGGCAGGTGTTGTTGTCGTTAATATTGAGGCAGGTGTTGTTGAAGTTGTTGTTGGGTCAGGTGTTGATGTAGTTGTTGTTGTGGCAGGTGTTTTTGTTGTGGCAGTTGTTGTTGTTGTTGACGCAGGTGTTTTTGTTGTTGCAGTTGTTGTTGTCGTTGTTGTTGTTGTTGTGGCAGGTGTTGTTGTTGTTGGGGCAGGTCTTCTTGTGGCAGTTGTTGTTGTTGTTGGGGCAGGTCTTCTTGTGGCAGTTGTTGTTGTAGTTGTTGTGGCAGGTGTTGTAGTTGTTCCTGTTGTTCTTGTGGCAGGTGTTGTTGTAGTTGTTGTTGTGGCGGCAGGTTTTGTTGTACTTGTTGTTGTGGAGGGTGTTGTTGTTGTGGCAGGTGTTGTTGTAGTTGTTGTGGCAGGTGTTGTAGTTGTTGTTGTGGCAGGTGTTGTTGTAGTTGTTGTTGTTGTGGCAGGTGTTGTTGTGGTTGTCGTGGCAGGTGTTGTGTTACTTGTTGTTGTGGAGGGTGTTGTTGTGGCAGGTGTTGTTGTTGGGGCAGGTGTTTTTGTCGTTGTTGTTGTGGCAGGTGTTGTTGTGGCAGGTGTTGTAGTTGTTGTTGTGGCAGGTGTTGTTGTAGTTGTTGTTGTGGCAGGTGTTATTGTACTTGTTGTTGTGGACGGTGTTGTTGTGGCAGGTGTTGTTGTTGGGGCAGGTGTTGTTGTCGTTGTTGTTGTGGCAGGTGTTGTTGTGGCAGGTGTTGTAGTTGTTGTTGTGGCAGGTGTTGTTGTAGTTGTTGTTGTTGTGGCAGGTGTTGTTGTGGTTGTTGTGGCAGGTGTTGTTGTACTTGTTGTTTTGGAGGGTGTTGTTGTTGTGGCAGGTGTTGTTGTAGTTGTTGTGGCAGGAGTTGTTGTAGTTGTAGTTGTTGTTGTGGCAGGTGTTGTTGAAGTTGTTGTGGCAGGAGTTGTTGTAGTTGTAGTTGTTGTTGTGGCAGGTGTTGTTGTACTTGTTGTTGTGGAGGGTGTTGTTGTTGTGGCAGGTGTTGTTGTTGGGGCAGGTGTTGTTGTCGCTGTTGTCGTTGTTGTGGCAGTTGTTGTTGTAGTTGTGGCAGGTGTTGTAGTTGTTGTGGCAGGTGTTGTTGTAGTTGTTGTTGTTGTGGCAGGTGTTGTTGTAGTTGTTTTGGCAGGTGTTGTTGTACTTGTTGTGGAGGGTGTTGTTGTGGCAGGTGTTGTTTTTGGGGCAGGTGTTTTTGTCGTTGTTGTTGTAGTTGTTGTTGTTGTGGCAGGTGTTGTTGTGGTTGTCGTGGCAGGTGTTGTTGTACTTGTTGTGGAGGGTGTTGTTGTGGCAGGTGTTGTTGTTGGGGCAGGTGTTTTTGTCGTTGTTGTTGTGGCAGGTGTTGTTGTGGCAGGTGTTGTTGTAGTTGTTGTTGTTGTGGCAGGTGTTGTTGTGGTTGTTGTGGCAGGTGTTGTTGTACTTGTTGTGGAGGGTGTTGTTGTTGTGGCAGGTGTTGTAGTTGTTGTGGCAGGTGTTGTTGTAGTTGTTGTTGTTGTTCTTGTGGCAGGTGTTGTTGTCGTTGTTGTTGTTGTTGTGGCAGGTGTTGTTGTACTTGTTGTTGTTGTGGCAGGTGTTGTTGTGGTTGTTGTGGCAGGTGTTGTTGTACTTGTTGTTGTTGTGGCAGGTGTTGTTGTGGTTGTTGTGGCAGGTGTTGTTGTACTTGTTGTTGTGGAGGAGGGTGTTGTTGTTGTGGCAGGTGTTGTTGTTGGGGCAGGTGTTGTTGTAGTTGTTGTTGTGGCAGGTGTTGTGGCAGGTGTTCTTGTACTTGTTGTTGTGGAGGGTGTTGTTGTTGTGGCAGGTGTTGTTGTAGTTGTTGTGGCAGGTGTTGTAGTTGTTGTTGTGGCAGGTGTTGTTGTAGTTGTTGTTGTTGTGGCAGGTGTTGTTGTGGTTGTTGTGGCAGGTGTTGTTGTGGTTGTTGTGGCAGGTGTTGTTGTAGTTGTTGTGGCAGGTGTTGTTGTAGTTGTTGTTGTTGTGGCAGGTGTTGTTGTAGTTGTTGTGGCAGGTGTTGTAGTTGTTCCTGTTGTTCTTGTGGCAGGTGTTGTTGTAGTTGTTGTTGTGGCAGGTTTTGTTGTACTTGTTGTTGTGGAGGGTGTTGTTGTTGTGGCAGGTGTTGTTGTAGTTGTTGTGGCAGGTGTTGTAGTTGTTGTTGTGGCAGGTGTTGTTGTAGTTGTTGTTGTTGTGGCAGGTGTTGTTGTGGTTGTCGTGGCAGGTGTTGTTGTACTTGTTGTTGTGGAGGGTGTTGTTGTGGCAGGTGTTGTTGTTGTTGTTGTTGGGGCAGGTGTTGTTGTCGTTAATATTGAGGCAGGTGTTGTTGAAGTTGTTGTTGGGTCAGGTGTTGATGTAGTTGTTGTTGTGGCAGGTGTTTTTGTTGTGGCAGTTGTTGTTGTTGTTGAGGCAGGTGTTTTTGTTGTTGCAGTTGTTGTTGTCGTTGTTGTTGTTGTTGTGGCAGGTGTTGTTGTTGTTGGGGCAGGTCTTCTTGTGGCAGTTGTTGTTGTTGTTGTTGTGGCAGGTGTTGTAGTTGTTCCTGTTGTTCTTGTGGCAGGTGTTGTTGTAGTTGTTGTTGTGGCGGCAGGTTTTGTTGTACTTGTTGTTGTGGAGGGTGTTGTTGTTGTGGCAGGTGTTGTTGTAGTTGTTGTGGCAGGTGTTGTAGTTGTTGTTGTGGCAGGTGTTGTTGTAGTTGTTGTTGTTGTGGCAGGTGTTGTTGTGGTTGTCGTGGCAGGTGTTGTTGTACTTGTTGTTGTGGAGGGTGTTGTTGTGGCAGGTGTTGTTGTTGGGGCAGGTGTTTTTGTCGTTGTTGTTGTGGCAGGTGTTGTTGTGGCAGGTGTTGTAGTTGTTGTTGTGGCAGGTGTTGTTGTAGTTGTTGTTGTGGCAGGTGTTGTTGTGGTTGTTGTGGCAGGTGTTGTTGTACTTGTTGTTGTGGAGGGTGTTGTTGTTGTGGCAGGTGTTGTTGTAGTTGTTGTGGCAGGTGTTGTTGTAGTTGTTGTTGTTGTTCTTGTGGCAGGTGTTGTTGTTGTTGTTGTGGCAGGTGTTGTTGTAGTTGTTGTTGTTGTGGCAGGTGTTGTTGTGGTTGTTGTGGCAGGTGTTGTTGTACTTGTTGTTGTTGTGGCAGGTGTTGTTGTGGTTGTTGTGGCAGGTGTTGTTGTACTTGTTGTTGTGGAGGGTGTTGTTGTTGTGGCAGGTGTTGTTGTTGGGGCAGGTGTTGTTGTAGTTGTTGTTGTGGCAGGTGTTGTGGCAGGTGTTGTTGTACTTGTTGTTGTGGAGGGTGTTGTTGTTGTGGCAGGTGTTGTTGTAGTTGTTGTGGCAGGTGTTGTAGTTGTTGTTGTTGTTCTTGTGGCAGGTGTTGTTGTAGTTGTTGTTTTGGCAGGTGTTGTACTTGTTGTTGTGGAGGGTGTTGTTGTTGTGGCAGGTGTTGTTGTAGTTGTTGTGGCAGGTGTTGTAGTTGTTGTTGTGGCAGGTGTTGTTGTTGTTGTTGTTGTTGTGGCAGGTGTTGTTGTGGTTGTTGTGGCAGGTGTTGTTGTACTTGTTGTTGTGGACGGTGTTGTTGTGGCAGGTGTTGTTGTTGGGGCAGGTGTTGTTGTCGTTGTTGTTGTGGCAGGTGTTGTTGTGGCAGGTGTTGTAGTTGTTGTTGTGGCAGGTGTTGTTGTAGTTGTTCTTGTTGTGGCAGGTGTTGTTGTGGTTGTTGTGGCAGGTGTTGTTGTACTTGTTGTTTTGGAGGGTGTTGTTGTTGTGGCAGGTGTTGTTGTAGTTGTTGTGGCAGGAGTTGTTGTAGTTGTAGTTGTTGTTGTGGCAGGTGTTGTTGTAGTTGTTGTGGCAGGAGTTGTTGTAGTTGTAGTTGTTGTTGTGGCAGGTGTTGTTGTACTTGTTGTTGTGGAGGGTGTTGTTGTTGTGGCAGGTGTTGTTGTTGGGGCAGGTGTTGTTGTCGTTGTTGTCGTTGTTGTGGCAGTTGTTGTTGTAGTTGTGGCAGGTGTTGTAGTTGTTGTGGCAGGTGTTGTTGTAGTTGTTGTTGTTGTGGCAGGTGTTGTTGTAGTTGTTGTTGTGGCAGGTGTTGTTGTAGTTGTTGTTGTGGCAGGTGTTGTTGTAGTTGTTGTTGTGGCAGGTGTTGTTGTAGTTGTTGTTGTTGTGGCAGGTGTTGTTGTAGTTGTTGTGGCAGGTGTTGTTGTAGTTGTTGTTGTTGTTCTTGTGGCAGGTGTTGTTGTAGTTGTTGTGGCAGGTGTTGTTGTGGAGGGTGTTGTTGTTGTTGCAGGTGTTGTTGTAGTTGTTGTGGCAGGTGTTGTTGTTGTTGTTTTGGCAGGTGTTGTTGTAGTTGTTGTTGTTGTTCTTGTGGCAGGTGTTGTTGTAGTTGTTGTTGTGGCAGGTGTTGTAGTTGTTGTTGTGGCAGGTGTTGTAGTTGTTGTTGTGGCAGGTGTTGTTGTAGTTGTTGTTGTGGAGGGTGTTGTTGTGGTTGTTGTGGCAGGTGTTGTTGTACTTGTTGTTTTTGTGGCAGGTGTTGTTGTGGTTGTTGTGGTAGGTGTTGTTGTACTTGTTGTGGAGGGTGTTGTTGTTGTGGCAGGTGTTGTTGTTGGGGCAGGTGTTGTTGTCGTTGTTGTTGTGGCAGGTGTTGTGGCAGGTGTTCTTGTCCTTGTTGTTGTGGAGGGTGTTGTTGTTTTGGCAGGTGTTGTTGTAATTGTTGTGGCAGGTGTTGTAGTTGTTGTAGTTGTTGTTGTGGCAGGTGTTGTTGTACTTGTTGTTGTTGTGGCAGGTGTTGTTGTAGTTGTTGTAGCAGGTGTTGTAGTTGTAGTTGTGGCAGGTGTTGTTGTAGTTGTTGTTGTGGCAGGTGTTGTTGTGGTTGTTGTGGCAGGTGTTGTACTTTTTGTTGTGGAGGGTGTTGTTGGGGCAGGTGTTGTTGTCGTTGTTGTTGTGGCAGGTGTTGTTGTGGCAGGTGTTGTAGTTGTTGTTGTGGCAGGTGTTGTTGTAGTTGTTGTTGTTGTGGCAGGTGTTGTTGTGGTTGTTGTGGCAGGTGTTGTTGTACTTGTTGTTGTGGAGGGTGTTGTTGTTGTGGCAGGTGTTGTTGTAGTTGTTGTGGCAGGTCTTGTTGTAGTTGTTGTTGTTCTTGTGGCAGGTGTTGTTGTAGTTGTTGTTGTGGACGGTGTTGTTGTACTTGTTGTTGTGGAGGGTGTTGTTGTTGTGGCAGGTGTTGTTGTAGTTGTTGTGGCAGGTGTTGTCGTTATTGTTGTGGCAGTTGTTGTTGTAGTTGTTGTTGTGGCAGGTGTTGTTGTTGTGGTTGTTGTGGCAGGTGTTGTTGTACTTGTTGTTGTGGAGGGTGTTGTTGTTGTGGCAGGTGTTGTTGTTGGGGCAGGTGTTGTTGTCGTTGTTGTTGTGGCAGGTGTTGTTGTGGCAGGTGTTGTAGTTGTTGTTGTGGCAGGTGTTGTTGTAGTTGTTGTGGTTGTGGCAGGTGTAGTTGTTGTGGTTGTGGCAGGTGTTGTTGTAGTTGTTGTGGCAGGTGTTGTTGTGTTGTTGTAGTTGTTGTTGTTGTGGCAGGTGTTGTTGTAGTTGTTGTGGCAGGTGTTGTTGTAGTTGTTGTTGTTGTTCTTGTGGCAGGTGTTGTTGTAGTTGTTGTGGCAGGTGTTGTTGTACTTGTTGTTGTGGCAGGTGTTGTTGTAGTTGTTGTGGCAGGTGTTGTTGTAGTTGTTGTTGTGGCAGGTGTTGTAGTTGTTGTTGTTGTGGCAGGTTTTGTTGTACTTGTTGTTGTGGAGGGTTTTGTTGTGGTTGTTGTGGCAGGTGTTGTTGTACTTGTTGTTGTTGTGGCAGGTGTTGTTGTGGTTGTTGTGGTAGGTGTTGTACTTGTTATTGTGGAGGGTGTTGTTGTTGTGGCAGGTGTTGTTGTAGTTGTTGTGGCAGGTGTTGTAGTTATTGTTGTGGCAGTTGTTGTTGTAGTTGTTGTTGTGGCAGGTGTTGTTGTTGTGGTTGTTGTGGCAGGTGTTGTTGTACTTGTTGTTGTGGAGGGTGTTGTTGTTGTGGCAGGTGTTGTTGTTGGGGCAGGTGTTGTTGTCGTTGTTGTTGTGGCAGGTGTTGTTGTGGCAGGTGTTGTAGTTGTTGTTGTGGCAGGTGTTGTTGTAGTTGTTGTTGTTGTGGCAGGTGTTGTGGTTGTTGTGGCAGGTGTTGTTGTACTTGTTGTTGTGGAGGGTGTTGTTGTTGTGGCAGGTGTTGTTGTAGTTGTTGTGGCAGGTGTTGTTGTAGTTGTTGTTGTTGTTCTTGTGGCAGGTGTTGTTGTAGTTGTTGTTGTGGCAGGTGTTGTTGTACTTGTTGTTGTGGAGGGTGTTGTTGTTGTGGCAGGTGTTGTTGTAGTTGTTGTGGCAGGTGTTGTAGTTATTGTTGTGGCAGTTGTTGTTGTAGTTGTTGTTGTGGCAGGTGTTGTTGTTGTGGTTGTTGTGGCAGGTGTTGTTGTACTTGTTGTGGAGGGTGTTGTTGTTGGGGCAGGTGTTGTTGTTGTGGCAGGTGTTGTTGTGGCAGGTGTTGTAGTTGTTGTTGTGGCAGGTGTTGTTGTTGTAGTTGTTGTTGGGGAAGCTGTGGTTGTAGTTGTTGTTGGAAAAGCTGTTGTTGTAGTTGTTGTTGGGGCAGCTGTTGTTGTTGTTGTTGTTGTTGTTGTTGGGGAAGCAGTTGTTGTAGTTGTTGTTGGGGAAGCAGTTGTTGTAGTTGTTGTTGTTGTTGGGGAAGCTGTTGTTGTTGTCGTTGTTGGGGAAGCTGTTGTTGTTGTCGTTGTTGGGGCAGGTGTTGTTGTTGTCGTTGTTGGGGCAGCTGTTGTTGTTGTTGTTGTTGGGGGAGCTGTTGTAGTTGTTGTTGTTGGGGCAGCTGTTGTTGTAGTTGTTGTTGGGGCAGCAGTTGTTGTTGTTGTTGGGGAAGCTGTTGTTGTAGTTGTTGTTCGGGCAGCTGTTGTTGTTGTTGTTGTTGTTGTTGTTGGGGCAGCTGTTGTTGTTGTTGGGGCAGCTGTTGTTGTTGTTGGGGCAGCTGTTGTTGTTGTTGTTGTTGTTGGGGAAGCAGTTGTTGTAGTTGTTGTTGGGGAAGCAGTTGTTGTAGTTGTTGTTGGGGCAGCAGTTGTAGTTGTTGTTGGGGAAGCAGTTGTTGTAGTTGTTGTTGGGGAAGCAGTTGTTGTAGTTGTTGTTGGGGAAGCAGTTGTTGTCGTTGTTGTTGGGGAAGCAGTTGTTGTAGTTGTTGTTGGGGAAGCAGTTGTTGTCGTTGTGTTTGGGGAAGCAGTTGTTGTAGTTGTTGTTGGGGCAGCAGTTGTTGTAGTTGTTGTTGGGGAAGCAGTTGTTGTAGTTGTTGTTGGGGGAGCAGTTGTTGTAGTTGTTGTTGGGGAAGCTGTTGTTGTAGTTGTTGTTGGGGAAGCTGTTGTTGTTGTTGTTGTTGGGGCAGCTGTTGTTGTTGTTGTTGTTGTTGTTGTTGTTGTTGGGGAAGCAGTTGTTGTTGTTGTTGTTGGGGAAGCAGTTGTTGTAGTTGTTGTTGGGGCAGCAGTTGTTGTAGTTGTTGTTGGGGCAGCAGTTGTAGTGGTTGTTGGGGAAGCAGTTGTTGTAGTTGTTGTTGGGGGAGCAGTTGTTGTAGTTGTTGTTGGGGAAGCTGTTGTTGTAGTTGTTGTTGGGGCAGCAGTTGTTGTAGTTGTTGTTGGGGCAGCAGTTGTAGTGGTTGTTGGGGAAGCAGTTGTTGTAGTTGTTGTTGGGGGAGCAGTTGTTGTAGTTGTTGTTGGGGAAGCTGTTGTTGTAGTTGTTGTTGGGGAAGGTGTTGTTGTTGGGGCAGGTGTTGTTGTAGTTGTTGTTGGGGAAGGTGTTGTTGTTGTGGAGACAGGTGTTGTTGTTGTTGTTGGGACAGGTGGTGTAGTTGTTGGGGCAGGTGTTGTTGTTGTTGTTGGGGCAGGTGTTGTTGTAGTTGTTGTTGGGGAAGGTGTTGTTGTTGTAGTTGTTGTTGGGGTAGGCGTTGTTGTTGTTGGGCCAGGTGTTGTGTTTGTTGGGACAGGTGTTGTTGTTGTTGTTGTTGTTGGGGCAGGTGGTGTAGTTGTTGTTGGGGCAGGTGTTGTTGTTGTTCTTGGGGCAGGTGTTGTTGTTGTGGTAGGTGATCTTGTTGTTGGGGCAGGTGTTGTTGTTGTTGTTGGGGAAGGTGTTGTTGTAGTTGTTGTTGGGGAAGGTGTTGTTGTTGGGGCAGGTGTTGTTGTAGTTGTTGTTGGGGAAGGTGTTGTTGTTGTGGAGACAGGTGTTGTTGTTGGGACAGGTGTTGTTGTTGTTGTTGGGGCAGGTGTTGTTGTTGTTGGGGCAGGTGTTGTTGTTGTTGGGGCAGGTGTAGTTGTTGTTGTTGGGGCAGGTGTTGTTGTTGTTGAGGCAGGTGTTGTTGTTGTTGGGGAAGGTGTTGTAGTTGTTGGGGAAGGCGTTGTTGTTGTTGGGGCAGGTGTTGTTGTTGGGGAAGGTGTTGTAGTTGTTGTTGGGGAAGGCGTTGTTGTTGTTGGGGAAGGTGGTGTACTTGTTGCGGCAGGTGTTGTAGTTGTTGTTGGGGAAGGTGTTGTTGGGGAAGGTGTTGTTGATGTTGGGGCAGGTGTTGTTGTAGTTGTTGTTGGGGAAGGCG